TGCTGTGCTTTAACCCGCTGCGCCACCAAGGAGGGCCTGATGGGTTCTGTTTTTTAATCCATCCTGCAACTCTGTGTCTTTTAACTGATGAGTTTATGCCATTTACATTTAGAGGTAATATTGATATACTGGCACATACATTTGCCATTATGGTCCTTCTGTATTTTTATTCTTTGTTTTGAACTGTTCTTGTTCATTCTTCTGTTGGATTTGGTTTGAAGGCTTCTTGTAGTTTTTGGAGTGGGGGTTTAGTCTTGACGAAATTGTGGAGTTTCTGTTTGTCTGAGAATGTCCTTATTCTTTCTTCGTAGAGGAAGGAGGGCTTCTCAGGGTAGAGTATTCTTCATTGGCATTTAATGCTTTGGAGTTTGTTGAGTATGTCCCTCCACTCTCTTTTTGCCTGTAGTGTTTCTTCATAAGTCTGATGTCATCTGGATCCTTTTCCCTTTGTAGGTTATTTGTTTCTTCCCTCTTGTCATTCTCATTATCTTTTCCTTGTGCTATAATCTTGGAAATTTTATTATAATATATCTTGCTGTTTTTCTCCTCTCATCATGGTAGTTTGGGGTTCTTCTTGGTTTTTGGATGTCTACTTTCATCTCCTTTTCAAATTAGGGAAGTTCTCTTCTATTATCTCTATGAATATTTTCTCTATTCCTTGGCCTTTCTCTTTGCCTTCTGGGATACCTATAACTCTGATGTTTCCTTTCCTAATGGTGTTAGATAGCTCTTGAAGTGTTTGTTCATTCCTTTGCCTTTTTACTTCTCTTTCTTTTTCTTTTTAATTCTCTTTGTTTCTGTGTCTTCGAGGGTGCTGATTTGTTCTTCCATTTCATCTATTTTGTTTTCATTACTTTTCCCAGCACTCATTTTCTTTCTTCAGTTTGTTGATTGCTTGTCTCGTATTTTTTTCATTTCTTTCATTCATTTCCTTGTTTGCATTCTTCAACTCCTGGATGGCTTGCCTCATTTCAGTTTGTTTATCATGATGATTCTGAATTCTTTATCTGGTAGGTTGAACAGTTCTTCAATTTCTTTGGTAGTTTCTGTTGACTGATCTTTTTGTGGTGAATTTTCCCCCTATGGACTTGCTTGAGTATTTGTTTGTCTTCTTTTCCCTGAGTTTTAACTATAAATCAGTGACTTCCTACGTTAATTTTTATTTCTATCAGTTTTTGTCTTGGTTTGTATGTTGATGTTTTAATTGTTATCAAATCTCAATTGAGGTATATCTTTTGCTAGAATAACAGTAACTTTCTAATTCATGCCTGTTACTGAGTTTTAGCTGACATTAATTTTGGTTATGTTCTTTTATATATATATATATATATATATATATATATATATATATATATATATATATACATTTCTTATATTTATCCTATTTGTCACTTCTTTTAGATATATTTCCTAAAGTGGAGCATAATTGGATTTCATTTTTTAATTTAATGAGAACCTTTGTCTTATAAGAATTTTACGCATTTATATTTATTGTAAAAATCAATCTAACTGGTTTCTTCATTAATCTTTTTATAGCTTTCTTTTGAAAGTGCTTATGAATGAGAAATGTAATAGGGTTTTACTTATTTGTTTGTCAGTTCTCATTACTATGCCCAGATATTTTTTAATCTCAGATTTATATTAATCTGTAATTTTAAAGTAATTTACATATTTATTTCATCAATTTTCTATGTGCATAAAAATCATGAAAGCCCTAAGACTGTAACAGCTTTAAATATATTGTCTCTTTTTCTAAGTATGTGAGTCATTGAAATAGACATTTTTGTCTTACTGCATTATTTTTGTCATCTTTTTCCATATTACATCTTTAAAAGACACTCTTTCTTTTCCCTGTTCCCCAACTTCAGAACATTTCTCTACTCATGAAAACAAATCAAAGTTGAGGTTAAAGTATCAAATCTTTTATTTACTACTTGCTAAAGTATAGAATTCAGAGTGTTTGAAATTATTGGATTAATGGCTTTTATGGTAATAGATAGGGGAATATTAGCAGTTATTTACTAGTAAGCTTGTTTTCTGAGTTACTATATCAGGTAACACTGAATGTGGCATTTCTATTCTTCTTGTATTTTCAGAAACAGAAGCTGTCCTCTTGCTGCTTTTTAACCTCAGATAGGCTTTATCCCTATCCATATGCACCTGGAGTATCAGCTCCATTTTCTCTATAATAAGTGTATTTGTATTTGAGGCTTTCCCAGTTTTTTTTTTTCAAAACATGTTTTGTTTTAGGACTGTTTAAGCAAGTGAATGTTAGAGGACTCAGTACCTTGTTTTGGAAGCAGTATGGAAGAAAGAAACCTGTACCAGTTGCTAGGAATAATATCTTTAAGAAAACAATGATGTTGCTAAGTTATTTTTAGAGATGGCAATCTTATTTCTCTCTCTCTCTCTCTCTTTTTTTTCTTAGCAGATAATTATATAGCTGGACTATGAAGATGTAAAGAATGAAGTGGAATTTAGCACCACCTCTCCAGGTTTGTGGGTCAGGCTGAAGTTCTTGGCAAGAGACTCATTTAAGTGTAATATATAGAAAACATGGACTGAGGAGGCAGGAAGACATTTGTTCTAGCTTTGGTTGTTTTCCTTTGTGACCATGACAAACCATTCAAGTTTTCAGGGCTTTGGGCTAGATTTGTTAAATGAGGAAGATAACTTTCTTTTTACTTTTCAAATTCCCTGGCTGACCAGGACATCAGAGATAGCAAGGAAGTTTCCATTTGACAGCATTTTTTACTTTTAATTTCATTAGAGCAAAATATCGACTTAATTTTATATTGTAAAGTTAAGAGGAATAAGTCCTTATCTTCCTACTTTGAATAAGACAAATTAGAAGAAAGGATCATATATGACTTAACATTATTAAAGTGGCACATCTTGTGGTGGAGTATCCCAGTCATGATACTTGAAGTAATCTGGCAGTGGAAGGACACAGAGGAATGTTAAATCACCATATTTCCCTCAGAAAGTGAGATATTTGTCTAGTTTTCCAGAAGGCTATGTGAGATATGTGAGATATTTGTCTAGTCTTCCAGAAGGCTATTACTTTTTCCATTGTGATCTGTGCATGTATTGAGATAGAAGATGTTGGGAGGTAGGCCCTCGGACAGCAAATATAAAGTCACACTGAAGATCTTTTACTCTTGAGCATGTGATGATTAGAAGACAGCCAGCACTAAATTCATATTTCATATGATCAACACAAAGATGCTACCCAAACTGGCTTTTTGTCATAACTGAACTGGGTATTACCATAAGCAGGAGGGGCAGATAGAATTTTCAGTTAATAATCGTGTCACAATTGTGGAAGAGTTAGGAAACAGTGTGACTGAGTAAGATATGAACAGTAGTCAGAGGTTGACTCTTTGAAGAAATGCTTTGTTCTGGCTAGATTCTGGAGAAAGAGACCTTGACAAAGGCTCCACCCAGAGCATCATTGAAAAGATCATACAGTTGACACAGAGTTTGCTTCTCTTCATTGAGGCATCACTTTGAGGACTAGAAAATCATTGTTTCCCATTTTATCAAGAGTTTCTAGGGAAAACAAGAAAATTGTTTCAGAAAGGGATTTTTAGTAAATACATTTTGTGAATATATCCAAATAAAATCTAAAACAAAATAGAGATTTAGATAAAAAATATAATGTGATAAGCTATTATTTACTTCTGTTATTGATAGACCCACTATGGACGTGGATATCAACATTCAGTAGCTTCTACCTTTAGAAACGTGAGTGAGGTAGACAGATAGACGACTACTATTTATGCCTCGAATTTATGTTTCATTTGATTTTAATAGAGAATCTGCTCTGTACAAGGCATAGTACTGGATGTTGAGAATATAAAATTAGAGTCCTTGTTCTCAAGACATTTATTCTCTAAACGACAAATAAGTAGCATGGTGGAAGATTGGAGAGAATAAGGCATTAGACTGCTCAGGAAGGAATGATTCAGGTGACTTAGTTCTAAAATAGAACTAGGCACTCTCAAGGAAACCTGTTCTTTCAGTGGTTGTGAATGTTCTGTTCTAAGACCTGTGTGTTTCTGATGTTAAGGATTATAATAATAGCCAAGAATTACACAGTGCTTTTCTCTGTAAAATGTATAGTTCTAGCACATTATATGTAACAATTCATATAATCCTTATAATTACCCTCCAAGGTAGGTATTAATAGAAACCTAGAAGCTGAGGCCCAGTAATTTGACCAATAACAACTTGGTATGTGGTGGATCTGGAACATGGCATTAACCATTTCTAGAATTAGGAAGTGTTAGGTTAAGGCTTATAGAATTAATATAGTCAGCTAATGGAGGAACCATTGCTGTATGTTTTTGTAGGTACAGTAGTTTAATATTTAGGGGTCCATAACTGAGCATCTGGGAGAAAGAAAATTGTCAGTACACGTGGTACTCATTTTCCGGAAATAAAGCTACATGTTATTATAATCATTATTAGAATTGCCTTAAAGTTATACTAGCTGCAATTATAACAAAAATTTCTTTGAAATTATAGAAACATATCTTTTTGACAAAAACAGTTTCCCATGAATTTACATAAAGGAACATCCTTAACTTTAAATATATCTAAAAGAGATTACATAAGCACCCACAATAACTGAATCCCATAGCTCTTTGCAGTAGAGATTTCCTTTTAGCTCAGTGTCCTCCTGATTAAGTAAAAGGTGCTTTTATTGGTTTTCTTGCATTGAAATGTTGTTTTTTTTTGTACAGCACTAGACACCTTCAATTTGTAAGCTGGATTTGTAAATTGAAGGCTCAAGTAGGCTGGGTCTGTGGTACATGTGGCTTACTCCATTCTTGAGCCACAGGAGTTCCTGCTATTTGCTGTTACAGAAGATTAACAAGAACTTTTGTGGCCTGGTTTGCCTGTAGTGTATATGCTCAACTGTAGATTACCTGAAAGAAAAGAATGGGATGAAAATGTGAGAAGTTATAGTTGTAAACTAGAAGGGAAATCAGAATTTTGAAACCAGCATCAGGATAGTACAGACAACAACTGGAAATTGGGAAGAGCCTTGGTGGAGAGGTTTTTAATTATGGCAACACTCAAAACATTTGAAATTATTGTGATAATTTTAGATGGACAACCTTTTAGCCAGAGATTCAATTTTATCTGTGTGGTTTATTAAATGTATACATGAACAAAAATTAAAGTAAAAGATGATCTTTGAATGTTAAACTGTTTTTGAGCTATGACATCCTGGACTTTGCAATTGGTAAAAGACATTGAGTGATTTTAAAACTTGTTAAAATTGTGATGAGGGCCTCCCCCCATTCCTCTTGTATTAGTAGGTATTTTTGATATAGAGTTAGGACTCTCATTAGGAAGATTAATATGTATACTGTAATGCTTGAATGTTATTATTAAATGAAAAAAAAAGAGGCTTTATCCCTCATTTGGACATATTAGCCACAAATAAAAGTAAATTTTTCATGTAATACTTTAATTAACTATGAAATTAAATTCATTAAAAGAGTACTTTGTCTATTGTTTTTAAAAGCATTAATTTTACTTACAGAGGGAATACATACTTTTTAAAAAACAAATCAAAGTTCTCTTTGAACAGCACTGCCCCATCTTTTCAGAGGTCATCACAGTACTATTTATCTTCATATCTTTTCTCAATATTTATGTATGTATATTTGTAAGCATAGAAACAAATACATTTTATGTAGATGTTACAAAATAGCTAACAGTGTACTGCCTGGTTAATTATAAATATGGCCTTTCATTATATGTTATGTTTGTAAAAGTACAGTAATGTTACCAATAGTGACAATTATTGAGTAGTTACTAATTGCTAGGTATGATGTTTAGCATTTTTCATATAATAATAATTTAGTCTCATATCTTTAGAAATGAGTGAAAATAGTTGATTTTATGTAGGAGATTAACATTCTTTAGTAAGACTTCAAAAATAAAATATATAGGATGATTTTAAACAGTGATAGGAATATAGCATTTAGTTTAATTTACTTATTCTTATATAGCTGGCCTTTCTCTACCAAATCCCTGGAGATAGTGTCTGTAAGTCTAGGAGGCTGGGTCTATAAGGGCCACTCCTGCTTACCTTTTAGGAATGAGGAGGGGTACTGTGAGTTATATTTGACACGTTCTAAATGAAGAACAATCCCAGATATTTTTGTAGCAGTTAATAGACTTGAAAACCCCTGCTGCTGATGATTTCCTTATTGGGGAGGACAGTTATAAGACCTAGGTAGAAGGAAATTGTTTGTGAAAAATGCTTTTCATTGCACTCATAGTTATAATGGTCTGAGGAAATAAATATTGCTGCAATGGGAACTCAGGTTTTTTTTTTTTTATATAATATAATTGTTTATTTTTACATCATTTTGTGCATGTTTCCATCTCGGTTGTAATCCCTTTGGGCTTCCCATCACCAAATCACCCATGTGGCATCACTAAAGTCCAGTGCATTTCCCTCCCCCCACTGTTTTTGACCCCATTCTTCACTCCACCCCCATAAATTGTTTCTGGTATATAACTGTTCAATATTATTATTATTATTATTTTCTCACCTGGCCCGTTATACTCCTGCTATGAGTGAAATCATTCAGTATTTTTCCTTTTCTTTCTGGCTTATCTCACTAAGCATGATCTTTTCCAACTCCATTCATGTTGCTGCAGAGGACATGTTTTTTTTTTTTGGTTGCTGAGTAATATTCCACTGTGTATATATATCACATCTTTTTAATATAGTCATCCATTTTTTGGCATTTGGGCTGTTTCCATGTTTTTACAATTGTAAATAAAGCAGCAATAAACATGGGGGTACAGGTATCTTTTTCAACCAATGTTTTTGTGTCTTTTGGGTAGGTACCTAGCAGTGGGATTGCTGGGTCATAGGGAAGCTCCATGTTTAGCAGTTTGAGGAACCTCCAAACAGTTTTCCATAGTGGTTGTACTATTTTGCATTCCCACCAGCAGTGCAGGAGAGGGGAACTCAGGATTTTTATGGGACTTGATATAAAGAGAGTGACATTGGTGGGTTGAAAGAAAAAACATTGTGTTTATGTCCTGGCTGTGGAGTTTGGATGAAGATTTTCAAATAGCTGCTTAACTAGTTGAGTGATTTCTACAAAGCCATGTTATACTGTTTTCAAACAAATGATAATAAGAGCTACTTCATAAAGTTGTGAGATTGAAATTACATAAAGTATTTTATTTATGGCAACGTGCTGTGCAGATATGCAAATATAGGATGATATTCTTAGTAGTTTCTTTGTCACAACTCTTGTCAAGGTCTTTCACAGTTTGCCTGTTTTACTGTTGCTACTTTATTGAAGACTTAACCTGTTTGCTTGCAACTTTTCGTACTTGAGAAAGGTACTATATTAAGGCTCTGTTACTTTCAGAGTCAAAAAAGAGACCTTATTGCTGAATCATTTCACAAATATTGAAGTCAGTATTTCCCCAGTCCTAATGCAAGAATTGA